GTGTCTGTTCGCTTTTAAATGGAATCCATTTTGTCGAGTTTAATTAAATTACAGAGCACCGGGACAAAATCGGCAAAATACTGCAGCCCGTCGGCTGAAAAAGTGACCGTAATTAAAATTCATTTCCCGAAAGAAAGTTTCTCTCATTTTTTCCGCCCGCCGCCACTGGCGAAAGAGAGTAAATCACAATTTAGCAAACGGTCCTTGAAAATTGCTGCCTCTCGGCAAGGCTGCCTCGAAATTAGTGCCGCTCGCGGCGCATAAAGACAATTTATGGCCGCATTACCGTTTATTAAAACGAGAGCAAATGGTTCCCACGGAATAATCCGCGACTTGGTAAACATAATCGCGGTTTTGAGAACCAAGTGTTTGTGGTGGTGGCGGCAGCCGCTTCCTGGGATGCATCAGAGCAACATAAAACTTTTCCCTCGTTCAAAATTCAATTCAATTTCATATTTGATACAAAACTGGATAAAACATAATACAATTTCTGCTGGTAAAATAAATAATAAAATTCCTATTTATGCTTCTAGGGCATTTAAAAACGATGATAAGCAAATGTTTTTATTTGACAGTGTTTGGCGGACTGTGAGGTTGGCTACGAAAAGTTTGGAAAATTCCTTAAACATTTTATTCCATTTCTTTTTAAAGTTTTCAATTATTTAAAATCTTACAATTTACGTCGTAAATTTGTTAAAACCTTCCAAATTGCATCTTGTATGGTGAAATTTCCTTTAATGTGATTTATTTAGAATTATAGCTAAAATGTTTGTTTCAAAAGCTTTGACTAGTTGATTAATAAATTTTAGTATATAAAATCATTTAAAAGGTCATTTTTAATGCATTCACTAATTGAAATCAGTTTCTTCATTAAGTCGGTATTATATCAAAATTCTTGACTACTTTTATTGCGTTTTTATTAACCCTATGAGAGTTATAATATATAAATGAAATTTTTATTTATAACCAAGAAGACTTTCAATCCGATTGCTCAATATAAATATTTAATTGTAGGAGTTTTTAAGCAAGAAAATCCAGACTGACGACTCTTGTTGGTCCAATCCCCTCCATTTACGCTGGAGAACAAGTTCTCTCGACTGCTGTAATTAATTAATGGCAGAATCATGCGCTTCTAATTAAGAAGACTTGGCCGACTGGCCCACCAGAGACCGTGCGTTCAGAAATTACGCAAGACAGCGAGCGATAAATCCAGCGAGTGTCGGTTGGGCTACATACACAATAATTGGCGCCAGTCAAGTCGAGAGGCAGAGGGATGTCAGCAAACTGCCAAGCACTGGAATAGTTCATAAAATAATTATTGCCAGAGAGAGTCGGAGGCTAAATTAAAGCTCAGGAGAGAAAGGAGCAAACAGAGAGATGCAGAAACGCGTGAGGTTCACTCGCAGCCCATCTCGTTTTGGCACGGCAACTTTGTAATTGTGAGCCATCAGTTTTCATGTCACATCCTGGCGCTTCTTGCCGCCGCTCTCGCCCTTTTTCCAAGTGTTGTTTATAGCACTTCTTCCCAACAATGACGTCATTAGTGGAAAAAATAACAACTTGATGAGCCTCTCCCTTCACCCTGCCCGCTTTCTGCTGCGTGCCATTTTTGTGCCGGCCACGAGAATGGTCTCGCATTACTAACCATTCTTGCACCCCTCGTTTCTAATTCGGTTCCGAACCGAAATTACTCCAAAAGAGTTCTTTGAGTACATCGCTTCCAGTTCCCTTGCAATGTAGGAGATTCAAAAATAAAAGTTCTTATAATTGCAAGGATTATTATGTTCCTTAAAGCTTTTAAAACACTTTTCAAAATTTTATTATCCATTAATAATTAATTCAATATTTCAAGGCATTCCGTAATTCATTAATATTGTGGTTTTCTTCTGCTTAAATATTATCCAATATTATCTAACAATAACAATAATTCCAGTCTCAGACTTTGTTTGAGTTAATTTGTATCTATCATTTTTTTACCTGCAGATAAAACTCATCATATGCAGTAAAAAAATGAATCATTTCTTGGAAAAGTCGATATCAAAAAGTTGCCTAGGATTAAAATCATATATCCTGGAACTCACCAAAAAAAGTAGAGAACGCGAGACATTATTTTTTCCATCTAATTTACCACTCTCCAGCATTCTGCCTTTGGCGGTAAGTGAGAATTATTAATAACGAGCAAAATTTTATCAAAGGCGTTCAAAATTAACTTCCAGCGGCAACAATGACGACAGCACTGACGGATGATTTGCACTTTTAATTACCTCCCAGCGAGGGTAAAAAGTTCTGCTGTAGTCGTTCTCGCCCGAAATTGCCTCTCTTGTTTGTTTCTTCGTTGCAAAAAGTTTTTAATATCGGCTGTACCTTTTTTACAAGCAAATATTAATTAATATCGAGGCAAAATAGATTTTAATTTACAAAAAAATATGCTAAAACTTTTATTATATAGTTTAAAACAAAATTGAGCTTAGCTTAATTATTTTTTCGCCAATTTTGTTTGCTGTGGTGATTATTATTTTTATCTCCCACCAGTCTTTGGCAAACACGGTAATGTACATGTGTGAAAATGGATTAGCGAAATTGCTTGCTTTGACACATGATGCTCTTTTACCAGCACAAGATAAATATACTCTAAAGAACGTTGGTCGACTTTTCTCACAGACAGTTAATGTGGACCTTTCATACAAGCAGCTCTTTAATTGATGTTTAATAATTCTACCAGCCATAAAAAGTGTTGATTTTTTTTAAAGAAAAAAATTACAATATTTTTGCCAATAAATAAATTTAATTTATTTACGCTTTATTTCCTGCGGGCCTTTCTACTACAATATATATTTTTTACTGTTCCCTTTACTTCCTTTTCCTACCCCCATGCTAGAAGTTAGGCTTTCCCTTAGAAAAGCAATATGTCAAGGCTGTCATTTATTTGTGCAATAAAAAAAGACAACGACTGTTGACCAATTAAACAGGAACAACTTTTACCTGCGCGGGCGCAGTTTGCAATTAACGCGGGGGAGAAGAAATCCTCAGCGAAATTGGCCATCTCGGGACAATCATAAAATTTTTATGGCCGATGGTACAATATTTTTAATAGCTACAATACTCGAATGAAACCGAAAATGTGAAGGTATGAAAAAATATATGCAACCTCTTTCTAGAAAGCGTCGAGAGGTTAAAAATCAAATATTTAGGCGACTTGGAGGCTCGTTTGAGGCAGACGGCCCATTTGCAAAACCCCCAGCTCACATATAATGTCACCCGACCACACATCTTTGCCTGCACCTCTTTTGCCTCTCGAGTGCGTCTCTGCCTGGAATACAAACTGCCGTAATAAGGCTGCTCTCTCAATTTCCAAATCCTCTGCCTCTGTGCATTACTCTGTGAGCCGTCGGAATAGTTTTCAGAACTAGCCCCATTTCTGAAGCATTCAGCCGTCTTGCAGACGTTTCAGAAAAACAATCAGGAATCGCGTGAGCCACGTTTATTTGCATTAGAGGCACTGGAGACACGCAGCAACGCACGATTTCTCTTCAATTCCAACAAGAATATATTATGCTTTGCATATTACTAGAAACTTTCGATTTTCACATGAATTAATCAAAGACGCAACTGCAGAATTAGTTTCGAGATCAATAACAAACCTCTCAGCAAGACTGATATTACACTCCGTGATTATCCTTGACACTTCTCATCACGAATGCGTGTCTCAATTCCACACACGTATCTAATTTCATATTGCGACTTTGCGATGGGTGTGTTTTGGAAACAACTGACTCCCTCGCAACCCACTCGTGTCGTGAAGAAGTGAACCTTCTGATGGGCTCAGCGCACATCACAGTGACATGAAATTTGGCTTTTCTTACGTCATCCTAAATGATAGCTGGATAAGCCTGTTACATATAAATGAAGTCTTCTCCAATAGCAAAACAAGATTAAAACTTAATTAAAATCAGGAAAATAAGTATACAAATCTAATCAATAACAATTAAAATAAAATCTTTGAAGCTTAAATAAATTATAAAATAAATTTATGTATCGGTAGAAAATACTTCTGTGGAATAAAATTGGAATACTATTCTTTTTTAGAATATGCATGGCGGAGAATATATTTTACATTTTGTATGATACTTTTTTTAATTTTATTACGGTGGTATTTTTAGATTTATATCTGAACTGAAATCAACAGAAGATTCTTCCGACCGTGAACTGAGAAACTAACACGATAAAATTATCAGCCAGAATTGTTTCAGAGACGGTTTAACAGGAGTAACATCCGTTCAATTTAAACTTTTCCCTGATTTGGGAAAGTAGAAATAATTCTGTGTCACTGCTAAATAAATAAGAAAACTTTGTTCAAAAGGAAAGAACTTTTAAATTGGTGCAGCGAATGATTTTAAGCTGTGTTTTTTTTTCTAGTTGCGGATGTAAAAATTGAGTAACTTTCCTCCAATCAAGAACTTCCGCAACAAAATTATCACCAGTGAGAAATGCAATTATAATCCGTATAATAATTATTTGCTGAAGGCGATCTGTTCTGTTCATAGAACATTCATTGCTGAGAAGAAATTTTTCATGAGAATTCCGCTTTATCTATTAGACGCCTGCAGCGAATTTCTTTCAACTTATCTCTGGCACTAACAATAAGGAACTTCCCAAGCAACATGTTTCTCTGCCAGCTGATGGCTCTAGAGTTGATTCATTTCTCGAAAGTAAAAAATGAACTCGGCTGCCAGGGTCGTATTCATGCCTTCTCTTTCTCATAAATATTTACCATATTTATCAGCCAAGCTGAATTTTCTCCCAAATTGCTGCGATTCAATTTGCCTTAAGCGAGGCCGTACTTGCTTTTTTATTAAGGTCGAATTGAGTTTTCTGTGCTGTTTGAACCGTGCTCGCTTTCCATTCCACTTCTTTTGGTAACGAATTTTTGCTCCAGTCGGTCGGCAATTTTATGCAGTAGCCCACTTTATTTGGATAAGGCAAAAAATTTAGGTCGCTACTCACTTTTCTTTGGATGACGATGGTGCCAACGCGTTTCACGTAAATCTGGAAGAAAATTGAACATTTTAATTAGCTGGCAATGTACACAGAGCTTGGTAGAAGTCAAATAAAAGGGATTTAATTATTTTTAATCTGGACTTCGAGGCGAATAAGAGTTGTTTACACAGCTTTTTCTGCTTACATTTAAATTTTATTAAATTTCTGGAAAACGTAAAGAAAAAATACCGATGAAAAATGCTTGCAACATCTACGCCACCTCATCTTAAAATCAAATCAAATTATTAAAAATGAGAAGTAAGCATTAATTCACTTTTTTATTGTTCACTGGAAACAAATTTAAATGAGCTAAAAGTTATATATTTGTTGAATTGCCGTTAATTTTCAATAAAATTAAAATGTTTTTATAAAAGTAGTCAAAATCATCTTTCATTGATTCTGAATTCTGAACAGCTTCTGCTCTATTATTTTTAGAGCAGCGTGCTGTTAATTTAGTACATTAATGAGGAAGCGGAAAGATAAGAAACTTGATAGTTTCATGTCGTAATTTGCAGCATCAGCACCAACACACAATGTAAACACATTTGGCGCGACGCTGAAATTATAGCACGCCTGCAAAACGTCTGCTACACAACTCTATCAAGTTTCATCAGCGGCTGCACCCGTTCTAAAATAATTCCGCATCGACCCAACCACGGCGACAACGAGCTACATATGTTTTCTTTTTGTACATTTTCCACCCGGGCAGAGAGCGAGTCGGAACTACACATAGTGCAGGCAGGTTTTATTTATATTTTGTATTTATCTCGACCTGCACTGCAACGTGTTTATTAACAAGTAAAGCGAATGTTGTCATCAGCGAAAAGCTTTTGCTCTCGCGTGGAGAGGAGATAATAAAAAAATATATAAATGCACCAAATATATAAGAGGACGACGTGTGACGAGATCTCTGAATCTCTGGGCGAAAAGCTTTTAGCGCCCGCATCACGTTCAATTTGAAATGTGCAGCCGGATGAAAACACTTGGCGCGCGCGGCCCTTCATAAAAATATTTAATTAAATTTACGATCACCTCTGGAGGCCTTTCTTTCTCTCTGGCTGGCATCGCCACCAGACAATTGTACATACGGCTCTTGGTATGCTCATCATCGCACACTCTCCAAGAGCAATTCTTTCTCCAGGGTACTATTAATATCAAGAAAAATTATTCTGCAACTCATGAAAATCACATCAGAACAATTTCGACGACAGAATAGAAAGGTTTTGGGATATGAAATAAATAATATTATTGAAAATTAAAGAAAAATCTATATTACAACTAAAAATGTACCAACTTAAATTTTCTTCCATTTACCATCATACATAAAATTTCCATAGGATATTTTAAAAATTCATCAGTTTGCATTTACTATATAATATTAATTTCTCACTTGAAAACTTTAAATATTCCAAATTTAGTATTCAATGTGCCAATTTTCATAATATTTTTTACATTTTAATGCGTTTAATATTCATCTAATGCCAGGTGCGATCATAAAAAAAGTTAATTATGATTCTCAAGTCTGCACTCGCCTTCGTTGCTCTCATTTTTGTTTTTTGTTTTGTGCGTCATACCAGGTTGCTCTCTCGTTTCTGCCGCGAACACGTCACAACAACACACAGCTAACAATCGCGTTATTAATTGTTGGGTTTTTTGCTGCAAGACAATAATGTTGCTCGGCGCTCGCGACCACGCAAAAAAGGCACATAATTTCTCGAGCGCGCGAGCAGCTTCTTCCGCTCTCCTCGCTTCCGAGAGAGGAGCAAAAAAGTTGGCATCCCTTTTCCGCGAGCAGCCCAGAACACGTGTCAGCAACATTGTATAATGATTAGAAACGGCTTAACCGCGCCACAAAACCTCACGCCTGCACCAACGCAAATAAGGCACGAGTCTCGCAGCGGAAAGAAAATTGGGCCAGACAAGCGAATTTAGCTCTCCCTGGCCATTCTTTTGCCATCGCAATTATGGCCCCTATTGTGCTCGTTTTGCGGTTTCTTATCACGCTCTACACCGTGGCACAAGTTTTTTGTGTGCGTTAGTCGTGCTTTTGCTCAGTTTTGCTGTTTTATGAGGCCACGAAGATAAGAAACTGGATTTTTTTACTTTTAATTTATAAATGCACTTTGTAGGGAAATCATCTGAAAGATTATAATTGGTAAAACGTCAGTCTGATTCTGATTGATAATTAATTTAAGCCAATGCTGACGATGAATAGCATCTAATTCATGATAGATAAATTTAAATTACAGTGAATTGCAGAGGATTTTAAATTTTTTTATTTTTTTAAACCTAGCCAATACCTGATAATCACTATTTCAAAGAAAGACACTAATTTAAAAAACAAAAAACTTATTTATGTTCAAAATTTGCAACAATAAGGGCTCGTCATATAATCTCTTTCTATGCAGGTTTTTCAAAAGTTTGATAATTGCTTTCATAAAAAGATTACATTAATTTCTCCAACTTTCTCAAGGATATGTATTGCGCTGAAATGAACTTGCATAATTTGAATAATAAAGGAAAATACAAAATTAAGTTCTAGTCGATTAATTGTTTGCACAAGAAAACCAATTAAGATTTAAGTTAATTGAATTTAATCAAAACTTACTCGTTGCAGAACCTAAATATTTAAATTATTTCGCTCATCTAACCAAATGAGATTCGCAACTTTTGAATTGAAAAGGCGACGTTCCTTTATAAGTTACTCACGACATAATCCACCGCATTTAACTTCATTATATCTAATTCAGCAGACCAGCATCTAACTGACTGACTGCACAACGAGCAAAGCGGGAGAAATACACACGTATTTAATAAAGATGTAAATTGCAGACGGAAAACTTTGCGTGGAGAAAACGCTTGAGAGGAAAGTTACTGTCGCGCATATAACGAAATTCCCCCAACTCTCTCACTGCAGCGTAGCAGACAAAATGCAAAAGGCGTGTAATTAAAACTCATTTCTTTTGTCTCGCCATTAAAATTCCATTAGGCGCGTCTCCCTTGCAAAATTTCGTTTTGCCTGTTGCGGCGCCGTTGCCACAGAAAATTGCGTGAAACGAAGACAGGCGAGCGCCCACGCAGCTGCCAATCATGGCGCAATTTTTGCGTCTCTCGCCATCCGTTTCCGTCTCCCTTATTTCCCTGCAGGCTCGCCAGCGCGTTTTAATTTGCGTCGTGGAGAGCGGTGCTCGAATGAACGGTCCCAAAGGTGTTCTTTTTTTTATCATGCCGGGCTCAAATAAGAATATTAACAAGGTCTTTGCGTAGAGCTTGGAGAGCGTGAGAGAAAGCGCAGATTAATTTGTATAAAATTTACATACTTTTCGTATCAGCGAATGTGAACTGGTTGATGTGATTTTTAACTCAAATTTGTAAAACTTTTTACCGCTTTTTACTATCAACACAGAACTCATTAAATAAACACTTGTGAGTCCCAAGGTAGATGGCAAATTAATAGGAAAATACCAGACCCCCATATCATAGTAAAAGCAACAATTTTAGTCACGCAAATAGCGAATTCCTTCTATAAGTGGAAACTATTCCTGACTCCAACGAGATCAATTCTCTGGGGAAAACAATTACGTCTATTTCTGCCGTTGTTGAATGAACTAAGCCGAGGAGAAGGACTCGACTTGAGAACATAATAATCTACAGTACCGTACATTGCCTGAGCCGGACGAAGTGCCGGAATCAAATTCTCGGCTTTAATTAAGTCACTCTACTAAGCCTTTCGAACTGACCGGAAACTAATCAGAACAGAGTTCTATCACGATTGCATTTCCCAATTCCCAATCGTCACCAGCTGTAGTCAAAATTAAAAACGGTGTGTTTTAAAGGTATAATCACTTTCTTTTTTAATTTTTTTACAGATTATAATTAACAAATCAATAAGCAAATCGCAAATTATAAATTCAGAAAATAATTTATTGTTTTGACTGATTTGGAGAAAACACTTGATATTATTTTGAATTTTCTTCTATACAAGTGACGCAAAATTATCAGAAAAAACTCAAGAGGATACTTTGGCCCGTCAATTTTCTCTTTAAAGGGAATTTCTTTTTCACGCAGCTCATCACACGCGCTCTACTTTGTTATGCAACCTGCGCCTTATCTATGCCGTGCACGTTGCATACCTTTCGAAAATGGCAGGATGGAAGCGACACAATGGCAGCCCCGGGGGTGTAGTGTGTTTGGCGTAGTCTCACCCACGACGAATTACTGACAGCCAATATCTCTTTACACCGAGGCGGCTCCATTTCCACGCATGAAATTTCAATTTTTGCTATCAGCGAGCCCAGATTGATGAAATTTTCAATACTTGGCCGTGTAAAATTCAGATTGATAAATGCATTCCGCTATAGTAGGTGAAAAAAAATAGCCATCAGTTGTATTCCTGCGCATATTTCATATTCATCGGTCAGCGCACTTTCCACTCGCATCCATCACGCGGCTGTCAAATTTATTCGCGAATGCCTGAAATGGCTATTTATATTCTTTCAAAGCTTCAATTTTGGGCAAATAGAAAATTGAACTCGAGCTTACATGGGATCGCAGCAGTTTTGCTTTCAATTGCGTGTAGAAAAGGTTCCAACTCAATAAAAGACTTGGAAAAGCACTTGCCACATTTTCTGACCCATGAATCAGAAAAATGCCCAAGAATTGAAAATAAGCGATGAAACAAAAGCACATTACCCAACTTTCTTCCGTGGGTCAGAACTTGGGAATTGCACCAATAAAAATCTACAGCGATATGATCAGGCTCGTTCAGCGAAAACACGAAAGCCGATAAAAATAAAAATAAAATATCCGGCCCTCTCTCTTCTCCGCCATAGCAGATTATCGACAGCTTCTTTCCTGGTCAAGCAATCCTAACCGCCATTGATTTCCAGTAAGCAAAAATTTATGACGCCCAGGGCAATAATAATAATATCTTTTCGCACACGACGCGTCATAACCCCATTTATCAAGAACTACTCTCGCGTTGGAATTAATTTGCGAGAGGCGGCCGC